CCCCCCCGAGCACCACCAGCCCTCAAACTTCATGGTTCCAATCACCTCACCCTGGCCGTTCGAGCAGTGGGGGACAGACATCATTGGTTCTTTCCCTAAGGCTGTCGGTGGTTATACCTTTCTTGTAACCGTTGTGGATTACTTCACTAAGTGGGTCGAGGCCGAGCCTCTAAGGACCATCACAGGGCTGGCCGTTCAAAAATTCTTTTGGAATGCATTATTTGCCGTTTCGGCATACCTCAGATCATCATCTCAGACAACGGGAGACAGTTTGCCGAGAATCCATTTAAGACTTGGTGCGAGAACCTCGGCATCAAACAACACTTCACTTCGGTGGGCCACCTCCAGGCCAACGGCCAAGCAGAAAATTTCAACCGAATTCTCTTGCATGGCCTCAAGACCCGACTATGCCGAGTTGGATCATCTTGGGTGGAAGAACTCCCCAGTGTCCTTTGGTCTTATCGGACCACGCCGAAGTCATCCACGCAAGAGACCCCATTCTCCTTGACCTATGGAGCCGAGGCTGTCATCCCTGCTGATATCCTAACACCCAGTCCTCGGCTGGCAGCCTATGCCGCCGAGGTGAACGAAGAAAAAGACAGTTGGATCTCGACCTCGTCGACGAGAGAAGGGACATTGCCTCAGCTCGGGTAACTTCCTACAAGAACACCCTAACCCACTATTACAATGCCCGCGTCAAACATCGGTAATTCCTGCCAGGAGACTTGGTGCTTAGAAAAAACTCAGTCAGCCGAGCGGAACCGCAAGGAAAGTTATGCCCAAAATGGGAAGGTCCTTACCGAGTTGTGGAATCTAATCTTAGTGGGTATTGTAAACTGAGCTACCGAGATGGCTCTTTAGTGCCGAGGACTTGGCACGCCGAGAACCTTAAATTGTATTATGCTTGAACATTTCGTCAAGTTATGACCTCAGATGCTTTGTTATTTTTCAATACTACGATACCACACATCCGTTATTAAAAAATAAGGGGGACAAGCAGGGGACGAAGCAAAAAATTAAAAGAGCCGAAGTGAGATGAAATAGATATGTCATTTACTAAAAAGAGGCATTACCAAAGGATTACAAGGCCGAGATCAGGAATGCTACTAAGCAATTCCCACCTCGGCATTACACTTAAGCACCTACGAGCCTAGACCCCCGTCTCGGCTCCCTCCTTGCCGGTTTGCCCCTCGGCTTCTTTCCCGCCGGGATGAAGCTCTCCTCCTCCTTCTCCTTCTTGCCATTCGTCAGCCTTCTCGCCGACGTCACCCCCAGCTTCCTCCCCTCCGTCCTCCTCGAACACCTCGTCGAATTCAGATAGCCATTTGTTGAACTCGTCCTGGACCTCGGCCAAGTTCCTTCCAACTTGGATGCCATCGGCCATCCGATCGCACAATTTCTTGGAGTTCTCATTGTAGTTGGCATTGTTTCTCAAAGACTCCAAGGCCTCGGAGGAAAGATGAACTGCGGCCTCGTCGATAGCCGATGTGTAGCCTAGCATAAAGCTCGGCCTCGTCAGTTGGCCGAGATCTCCGATTAAGTTCTCGGACTTCCGGAAATCCTCAACTGCCGAGGCCCTTGCACTCTCGAGAGCTTATTCATGGGACTTCTTCACCTCGTCCACCCTCTTCTGCTCTTCCTCCAGAGCCGACCTGAGACTGTTGATCGTGGCCTCGGCCTCCTCCCCTTTAGTCTCGGCTTCTTGAAGCCGTCTCTGAAGTTTCGACTTCTCAGACTCGGACACCACCAGTTTTTTCTTCAACTTGGAGATCTGATCTTGCAACTTGCCGGTATCCTGCTCCTCGAGTAGGGCACAGTATCGATGTGCCATCTCGGCCACAAAGGCTGTGTTGGAGGCCGTGGTCACCATTACGCTTTGAATCATCTCGACCGGAGTCAGCTTCCTCGTGAACTCTACGTCCCTCGGCAAGCTTGACTGCATCACCAACTCTTGTGCGATCCGAGGATGGGTGCACCTATCATTGACCGAAATCGTCCACTCCGGACACCAATGCTCGTCGGAGTGGGTTTTGTCCTTCTCGGGAAACACCGGGGGGCTATGGAAACGGTTCCACAGTGAAGACCCCGTGACCGTATTGACCGGAACCTTCAACTGTTTACCTCGGCCGTGAGGAGGCGGAAGTGCCGTGGTAACTCCGAGGGGCACCCTTTCTGGCACGGAAGAGGTGGACCCCGTGGCTGCGGCGGCCGAGCTGCTTTGGGCGGCCGGGGTGGGAGTGCTCTTTGCCACCAAAGTCTTGGACACTTGCCCTTGTGACTTCTTTTTAGGTGGGGGCGTCGATGTCTCGTCTGAGTTCTTCCTTTTCGATCTCTTTGCCACCTCGGCTGAGCCCGAGGTGATGATGTTGGATAATTTGGCCACTGCACAAGAAACAAACATTATTATTTGCCATAGCCGAGGTAAAAGGAAAGTCATGAAAGAAAAATTACAAGGTTTCTTAAGTTTAGTAGAAAAGAAGGGAGGCTTGTCAGGATTGAGTAAAGCTCGGTTAATCCCCTCGTCGACTAGCACGGCTTCGGGGTAGTCCCAACTGTATATCCAAAGTCCTGACCCCATCAACTTCTGGAAGGCCTCCTCCTCGTGGTCCCCCGCGGAAGGGTCGGCCTTCGATTTAATGGGCCTCTACCAAAAACCCCAAGGGAAGTCCCCGGCTAGGACGAAGAAAAAGTCACGCTTCCAGTTCTTTATCGAGGTGGGAGCGCCAATCACGAGCTTCGGGATGCAGTTGTTCCGATTACAGATGTAGAACCACCCCTTATCCGTCCCGTGTGCCTTGACAGTGTAACATCGGCGGAAGAGATCCACAGTGGGTGTCAACTCTTGATGTCGGCACAGCATCTCAAATCCCACTAGAATGCGGACCGCATTCGGGGTGAGTTGAGTAATTCTCACGCTGAAGTGACGGAGTACGTCCCTGAAGACCCTCGACGGTGGCATCCTAAGCCCGGCCTCCAACTGCTGAAGGTAGATGGCCACAGTGCCCATGGGGGGTTTCTCGGTCGAATCGTTCGGCCCGGGCGATGTGATGAGATACCCCGGCCTGAAGGGGTACTTTCTTATCACCTTCTCGACCATGTCCCTTCCCATGCGGCTCCTAAACTTCGGCATCTTGCCGAAGTCAAGGTTGGCAGCATTCTTTGGGGCAACTGGCTCCAGCACGCCCTCGTCACGGGGAATGGCAGTTCCGAGATCGGTATCGTATTCGACATCGGAACCACCCTCGCTCATCTCTGATGACTCTGACCCCGAGGCTGTCCCGGCCACTTTCTCCTCGGCTGATTCCCCTACATCGGTAGGCGCCGACCCCGCAGAGCTGGATGAATTCGCTTCTTCCAAGGGGTTCGACCCCTTCTCGGCCTGATAGCTCGGTTTCACGGTTTCCTTATGGGTTTTAGCTGTTTTGGCCATGTGTGAAAGATGAGATGAAAAGAAAGATACTTACTATTCACTACGGAATCGGACGAAGTGGATGACTTCGGCTGTGATCTCGGCTGACAGAACTGACCTCGGCAGCGCTCACGGATATTACAAGCTTCAGGCAAAAACGAAAAAGTGTGAGACGTGCGGTGAAAGGGGCCCCCCATTTATAGGGGATCGGGGGAACCCGAAGAGGCGCCAAGAATGCGAAAAGACAGCCATGTTCAAATTCAAAAGTACGTGTCTCTCTCTCTCTCTCTTCATTAATGTCCCGTCCTTTCGACTGACACTCTCTCTGCTCACCACGTCCTATCAACTGACCTGCCCACGTGTCGTACCCCTGCATCTTCCAGAGCAGTTTCGGGTCCCCGACCCTGGCCGACCTCGGCACAACGAAGCCTCGGTACCTCCCGGGCCCGGAGCTCCAGAGGCTTGGGAGGCTTATTGAGGATGCTCACCTCGGCCTTCCCCGAATAGCCGAGGTGATCTTATTTCGTCTCTCAAGCGAGTGTGGTTTTGTCCTGAACATGACCCCCGAGCTCGGGCTGAACCCTGGTCTACTGCTTATGTGACCTCTGCACCTCAGGCCTCCACCTCGGCTGCACGCTGATGATGTCAACCCGCCTGACATCATCCAGGACCAGTGCTTTATCTGAAAAGCACTGATGCTCTTAATGGGTACTGGGCAAGGTTCCCCGTCATCCTGCTCAGTCGGCTACAGTGTCAGAGTCAGACCTCCTGACAAGGAACAGAGCCGTAATGACAGGACATGGGTCCCACCAGCATGAGACCTTCGTCCTGTCATCCACTCCCACTCCATAAATACCCCACATGTACACCCAACAAGTAAACATACTGTTCATTCATATATACTATTATTTTTTCTCGTTCTGATACTAACTTGATCGTCGGAGTGATCCCAGGGGAGAAGCCCCGCCTTCCACTTCGGATAAGCAAGTATCCCTCACTTCACCTGAGAAGGGACTGATTTAGGTCGGTTCAGTTACCCGCCAAAAATCACCTCTTCAACACCAATTTACCTAAAATTTATTTATCAAAAATAAAAAAATAATTAAGATACCATTTGCCTCAAATAAGAAAAAGAAAAATTATGTTACTAAGAAGAACCACTTGTACTTACTCAAAAAATATAAAGTTACTACTACATACTGGAATGTTTCTGCTTAATACATCATGTATACTTATGAACATTTCATTCAGCGCAAAAAAGTTATGATATGATAGGACTTGTATTTGATAAATAAATGCAAAATGAAAATTCTAATAATACTACTTTTAGTTCCTTTGCATCATTGAAACATTGATTAAAAGTTGAGGATACATTTATGTAGAATCCAACATTAATCGGCTAACTGTTTAGTTTACTAACTGGGTTCAAATTTGTCAGACTGAGTTTGGAAATGCCCTGTTTCAAAATTTTCCAAAGGAGCATCATGATTATTATGCTACCTTTATTGAACAACGTTATTGTTAGATAACTGGAATTTTTAGAGATTTTCTTGTCAATCGATAGGTAATTGAGCTCACTGGAAAATTAACAATGGAGGCACTTGGGAATTTGGCATTCGACAGAGGAAGGAAGTGTTACCATTTGCGTGATAATCTAAGGTCGCTCGAAATGAAGTTGCAAAGATTAAGCAACAGGAAAATTGATTTCGAGTCGAAAGTGAAAGTTGCAGAAAGATCAGGTACTAAGAAAAGGAAAAGGGAGGTTGAGAATTGGTTTGAGGAGGTAGCAAAAATAGAGAATGAATTCGTTGCATTGAAAACGAGGGTAGAACAGGGTAATCTTCTAAAATATGCATTTAGCAGTGGGGATGGAGTGGAGAAAATGGACAAGTTTGTAGAGCAACTGATGGTGCAAAGTGATAGTGATCATTTTGCTGAGCTTTGCCTTGAGGCTTCTGAGAGCAGAGGTGAGCCACGAGAGACAATAAAATTACTTGGAAAAAGGTTTTGCAAAGGTCTGGAAACAATCCCGGCATGGTTGGACACCAATGAGATCTTAAGGATTGGGATATGGGGGATGGGAGGTGTGGGTAAGACTACTTTGGCGGAACACATCCATAATCATCTCCTTGAGAATACTCAATTCAAGGTTTATTGGATTTCTGTCTCTCAAGATTTTAGCATCAAAAAGCTGCAAGGTGACATTGCTAAACACCTAAGGCTTGATCTGTCAAACGTGGATGATGAAGGAGCAAGGGCACGCAGGTTGCGTGACGCATTCGAGAAAATGGAGGAAATGGTAGTGCTCATATTGGATGATGTTTGGGAAGACTTTGGTTTAGACAGGGTAGGGATTCCTCTTGATGCACTAAATCGCAGATTGATTTTGACTACACGCTCGTTAGACGTGTGCAACCGGATGCAATGCCAAAGCAATTTTGAGTTGAAAACATTGGACACAGAGGAAGCTTGGGGTTTGTTCGAGCATACACTTGGCAGCGAGACCTCCAGTGATGGAGGTTTGAAAGATATTGCCAAGTCCATCACGGAAAGGTGCGATGGTTTGCCTCTTGGTATTGTCACAGTGGCTGGGAGCATGAGAGGTGTGAGAGACATCTGTGAGTGGAGAAATGCATTGGAAGACTTGAAAGCATGTTCCGTCGGGCACGATGAGATGGAAAAAAAGGTGTTTCGCATCCTGGAATGGAGTTTCAATCGCCTGAATGAATGTCAAAGGAATTGCTTCTTGTATTGCTCTCTTTATCCGGAAGATTGGAAAATAAAAAGAAAGGAACTAATAGACCTTTTTATTTGGGCAGAGTTGATGCCAAAACGGAACTCAAGGTCAGAAGATATTGATGAAGGTCAAACGATATTAAACAAACTGATAAGATTTTGCCTGCTGGAAGAAACAAAAGATTCCGAAGGGGATGACCATGTAAAGATGCATGATTTGGTCAGAGATATGGCAATGAGGATCACGAATGGAAACTCCAAACTAAAGATGAGTGGAGTTGTACCACGCTTCTTGGTCAAAAGCTTTGTATGGAGGCGTTCAAAAGTAATACTGGAACAAAAAGAATGGACAGAAGATCTCCATGCAGTCTACTTTCATACATTTGGAAGCGCAGAAATAGAAGTTCCACCAGGCTGGTCACCGAATTGTCCTAAGCTCTCAACCTTGCTTCTTCCCCATTTTTCCATAAAAAGAATCCCAGATTCTTTCTTTCGGCACATGTGTGGACTTAAAGTTTTGAATCTAGAAGGGTGCAAAGATATAACAGAGTTGCCTAATTGTGTTTCAGACATGGTGAATCTCACTGCTTTGATTTTGGGGGGTTGTGCACGCCTCATGTCTGTGCCACCACTGGGAAAGCTCAAGCAATTGAGGGATTTGGATTTATCATGCACTAGCATTCAGGATTTACCTCAAGGTTGGGAGTCACTGGTCAACCTTGAAAGGCTTAACTTGAAAGACTGTCAGACTTTAGGTTTAAAGATAATACCAAAAGGGACATTTTCCCAATTCCACCGTCTTCAACTGCTATTATTGCCACCCTTTGGTAAGGTACAAGTTAATGATCCAGAAGTGCTGAACCAATTAGAAAGTTTCATAGGATGTTTGTCTTTTACGAACTTCTATAAAAATACTCAGTGGCCAAAATACTATAATGTTTATATCAACGACATCTTAACTAAGAATCGGGGTTATATGTATTATCAGAAACAACTGTATTTTCATCAGTGTAAGCTTGGTAGAGGATCGAACTATCTGCCAGATGATTTGAAGAGTTTGGAAATCGTGGATTGTGAAGGCATGGGCATTAGGTGCTTGTCAGATGTGTTTAGAAATTTTATAAATTTAAGCCACTTATTTGAATTGGATATTTTTTATTCGGTTGGAATAGAGTTCCTCTGGCAATTGCCCTCTCCTTCTCCACATGATCGGCTGGAAGTCTCGTCTCTTAGTCGACTCTGTCATCTCGAAGAGCTAGGCTCTCCGGGTTGCCAAATCTAGTTGGTCTTTTTTACGGAGAATCAGAACCATATTTGCTTCCAATTGGCACCTTTTTTTCCCTCAAAATATTGTGGATTTCTGAATGTCACAACGTGAAGCAGCTATTCACAGTGCAGTTGCTGCAGAACCTTCAAAATCTTGAAACATTAAGTGTTGAAGATTGTGAAGGATTGGAGGAGATAGCAACAGATGGCAATAGAGCAGGACAAGGAGGAGGAGAAGGCATCCAATTGACTTCAAGTGGAGCCACTGCCACCGTCATCCTTCCAAAATTAAGGAGATTGACTCTGAATAGGCTGCTGCAACTGAAGAACATTTGCAAGGCAGCCATGATCTACGATTCAATTAAGGAGATTGAAATATTCGATTGTCCAAAGGTAAAGAGGCTGCCTTTGTTTCTTCCTACCACCAACGGTCTACCATCTCCTCCCAGCACTCTTCGTAAAATTAGGGGAGATGTAGAATGGTGGGAATTATTAGACTGGGACAGTCGCTACCCAAAAAATGCCCTTGACCCATTGTTCATAGCAAAGGGGTGAAGTTCGAACAAGGTGTTAAAGGCCACCTATTTGATCAAAATCCGGATTGGTTTTCAAGTACGTGATTCCTCCCTTCCCTCTAGTCTTGTCTTGCCAAGTATCCCCTTTCTTTGAAATTTTCCAAAATATGATCTACTTCTCCAATAGCCTAGATTTTCTATTGCGTAGGAATCAATATTAGTTATTTCAATGTTGCGGTGCAGAACTACTAACACCCTTTCTTCAATTAATTTACGTGATTTACTACATATAATGTTTTTTTTTCTTTTTCATTTTTTGTTTTGACTTTTTTGATGGGAAAATGGATTTAAGTACTATAGTTTGTCTCTCTCTCTCTCTCTCTCTCTCTTTCTTCTTATTTATTTTTGAGTTCAATGTCATGATAAATTTCTTTTTTCATTTTATGCTGTGGAATGTTCTCTATCTTTCCCTTTTTCTGGAGAGGCTCAAGTTTTCCTCTGCCAACTACCTTTCCGATGGAGAGGAATTGCAAACCACACCCTTTTCTTATAATCATTGATATAATCTAGTGCACAGCTTTTTAGTACTTTTTCTCAATTTTCAAAATTTAAATATTTTATTTTCTCTCTCTTTCTTTCTTCTTGTTCATTTATGAGTTTAGTGTCTTTATTAATTTATTCTGTGAATGAGCTGATCTCTATGTTCTTTTCTTTTTTCATTTCCTGGTTTTGGAGGTTTTCTTGAATTTCCCTTTTTTTGAAGAGGTTTCCAGATAAAGCTGTAGGTATATATGTTTGCAAATGTTTAAATTCTAAATTTCATGTTGAGAGCCACAACAAGTTGGAAGGAAGTAGAACTGCAAAGTAATTTACATTATTGTACACTGAATTAGTATCATGGACGAATTAGCTTTGTGTTTCTGACTACACTGATCAAGTGTTGTTTGTCAATATTTCTCAGGTTACTAAACAAATTTGCTGCTGCAAGAGAGGTGATGTTGCAAAAACAAGTGTTAATCGAAGCCCTATCCTCCAGTACCAAATTTCCTTCCAAGACGTGCTTCTTCTTTAGCTGTATTACAGTTGCTGCTTTTTGTCATGTTTGGCCTTTTATTCCTACCTAGATCATGTTTTTTCTGTGCTTGATTGTAACTGGAGTAGCGACACAGTTTTTTGCGACTATTCCATGATTAGCAACAAAATTGTTTTGAGGTATTATGCTAAAATTTTTGGTCATATTGTACTCCGAGAATGTGATTTCGCTCTATCAATTTAAGCCTTTCTATGTGTGTACTTTTTCTAGATTTTCATTTCTAGAATGTGATTTCCTTGCTAATCTGCAGTCCTACAATTTATGAAGAGGCAAAATCAAGGTTAATAACTTTCAATCAAGGAACATTCATAACTAATTATTCTCCAGTTTATAGTTGATTGATTTCAGTTTGAGCCTAATTCAGAGTTCACACCACAAAGAACTCAGTGATATGCAACCAATAAAGGAACGAAGGACAAACAGAAATTGGTCTAGGGCAGGAAATATAGCATCAGTTGCTGTACAATGAGGTAAAGGAAGGAATGTGGTTTCAGATAATGTAAACATATCAGCCGGTAATTCACCTAAAATTATTCTCCTGATGAATATGATTAACAAATCTCATAATGTCAGGACATCCATTTTTTTCATTGTTTTAAGGGGTCAAAAGATCATCTTGAAGTGCCTAATGATGTAGAAAGAAGGATAATATCTGCTAAACAAAAGATCACTCAATTTAGTGAACTTAACTGAATGCTAGTTTATTTCATTTCCGTAAAGGAAATGACCTGCTATTTTTAATAGCACATCAGCAAGTACTCCTACCTAGTAGAGCAGATGTTGCTATAGGAACCTCAGGAAGTATACTACTTGCAACACAGGAAGTCAAATGCAATGAGAGACAATCTCAATGAGAGATAAAACACCTCGAATTAATAAAGACAAGCTTGACAATCTCAAAACTTACCCACAGACAGCATGCCCAACTTCATGGTATGCAACCAGACTTTTGCTCTTGCCATCAGTCATAATTGTCCCTTCCATTCCTGCAACTATTCTATCAATTGAATCGTTGATCTCTTTTGATGAGATTGCTGCCTTCCCACGTCGGCCAGCCAAGATAGCAGCCTCATTTAAGAGATTAGCAAGATCTTCTCCACTAAAACCAGCTGTTCTCATGGCTATCACTTCAAGAGACACATCTGAATCAAATTTTTTATTGCTAGCATGAACTTTCAGAATTTCTGTTCTTCCTCGAATATCTGGTACATCAACGGTTACCTGTGTAAAAGCATGAAATTAAACATTTTCCATTAAACAAGTATTTTCCATTAAACCTCAGTTTGAGGAGTGAGAATCATTGAAGGAGTTATACCTGTCTATCAAAACGTCTTGGTCTCAACAAGGCAGAGTCAAGAACGTCAGCACGGTCAGTAGCCGCAATTAATGCCAGTGTTTCCTTCAAAACCATCCATTTTTGTCAAAAGCTGGTTGAGGGTCTGTTCTCTTTCATCATTGCCTCCTCTAATGCCAGTTCCTCTTTGCCGCCCAACAGCATCAATTTCATCAACTAATACAATGCATGGAGCACTCTCCTTCACTTTCTTGAAAAGATCACAAACACGAGAGGCACCAACACCAACAAACATCTCTACGAACTCTAAACCTGAATCGAGAAAAATGGAACACCTACTTCACCAGCAATAGCTTTAGCTAGGAGGGTCTTTCCAGTACCTGGAGGGCCAACAAGGAAGACCTCCTTAAGGATACGAGCTCCCAAGGCAATGAACCTTTTAGGCTTCTTCAAGAACTCCACAACCTCCATAAAATCTTGTTTTGCTTCATCCACCCCTGCAACATCATCAAAGGTCACACCAGTGCTTGGTTCCATTTGGAACTTGGCTTTTGATTGACCAAAGGCCAATGGAAAATCGGGCCCACCAGGACCACACATCCCTCCAGAAGATCGCCTTGAAAGTAGGAATAGACCTCCAATCAAGATCAGTGGGAAGGCCAAGTTTCCAATCAAGTTGAACAACAGAGAACCAGAGTCCTCTTGAGCATTGTGAGCAGCAAAGTCAATGTTCTTTTCTCTAAATTTCTGAAGAAGCTCTTGCAGAAGTCCTGGAAGTTGCACATGAACTCTCTGCACCCGATTACCCAACTCGGGAGACTGCCTCAACAATGGCAATAGTTCCATTTTCATATAGATCTACTCTTTTTGTGACGCCCCGAAAAAAATGAGTTTGAGAACCCGGAAATTTTCTAATTTCCTAGGGTTTATTTTTTTTTAACGCCCGCTTTTCCTACATTTTCTTGATTAGAAAAATTCCCCAGATAAAGTTTATGAGCAAATATAGTTTTTAAATGATTTTTCTAGTATCGGTTAGTTTTTGAGAGATTAAAAGCGTATTTTGGACGTGGGACCCGCTAGTGCGGCAAATGTAATATATTTTTGATAACTTGTTGGAGTTTTGTGCTAAGTGATATTTTTTTTACAAGGTGTTAAGAGATATTTATGGATTGGTGTGAGAGGGAACAAAGAGATAGAGATTCATTATTTAAGTGACAAGTGTCGCTTGGCCATTGGGTGGAATTTTTGACTTTTATGCCATGTCTTACCATTTGACTTAATAAACTAAAACTTTACCAAAAATTTGCTCCATTTCCAAGCTTCATGGCCGAAGCTCTCTCAAGAAAGGAAGAAAAGAAAGCTCTCAACTTGTTTCTTCAATTTCTTGCTCAAATCTAGCAAATCAACCGTTTAAACTTCCAATTTCTCCATAAAACCTCTTCACTTAGTGTTTGTGAGTTGTTTGGTGGAGTTGTTTGAGAAGCTAAGGTGACAAGTACCTCTCCCTCTTGTTTTGCTAAGGTGAGTGGTGGATGAACACCTCTCCTTCCTCTAATGATGTTCAATTCATGATTAGTGGTGTTATAAGATGCAATTTCTTGGATTATTTCTTGAGTTTGGTTGAATTGGTGAAGTTTTTATTTTTTTTGAGGAATTTTCTGGTTTAATATGATCATGGTGTTGTGGTCATGTATGATGATTGGAAATGATGTTTAATGACTCTAGGAGGTGGAAAAAGTGATTAAGTACAATCAATTTCTGTTTTGGAAGAAATTTCAGAAAATTAGGTTTTGTAGTTCTTCATTCTGCCCGAATTTATTGCACCATGTTAGAGGCCAAATTGGCCTTTGATTAAAACATGAAAGTTGTAGGTATTGATGAGTTTGAAGTTCCTGTAAAATTCCAGGTCATTTGGACTAGTGTAGAGTGAGATATGTCGATTTTACTGTTGCTGTTCTGGGTTGATCAGAATGCGAAAACTGCACTTGTAATTGGCCATTTTGACTGGAATTGCTTTGGATTTGGATGTTGGTATCTTCTGATGAAATGTATCTGGATGTCTTAGCTACCATATGCCTTTGGAATCAATGCATTTGGACTTGTATGGACCGAGTTGGACTCATTACAGCATTGTGTGATTTGTGAACCTGTTTTAGTGGTTCTGGTTTGGTATTTTTGGCATATTTGACCTAGTTGTGCTAGGAACTGGACTGAGTGACCTTCTACATTGTTGTAGCCCTGGTCCTTAGCTTCGAAACGGTGGGTCTTACACCCCCATCCGACAATTGTAGTGCCTTTGGTACCATTACCGCAAAATGACGTCAAAACTGTTTTTCTGGTTTTGAGCTTAACCTTCATTTCCGGACTTTTTCCTAGCTTGACTTGTACTAGTACTACTTGGAGCTTGCTGAATGGATATTAGATGAACTTATTTGTGTGACTTTGGGACTGGCTGAAGAAATAATGAAGCCATGATGGCTGGGAAAGTAAGCAAATTTAGGGGAAGTGCTGTCCGAAGTTTTAAAGGACTTGTTTGCATTGAGTTTGTGATCTAAGACTTGGATTTGAGCAAGGCAATGTTACTGTGATGGATGATTTCTGAGCCGTGGAGGTGAGTGACCTCAAACTACTTCTAAAGTTATTTATGAACCGT